TCAGTCGTTAAGCGTCTGCCTTCGGCTCAGGTCGTGATCCCAGGGTCCTGGGATCGAGCCCCACATCGGGCTCCCTGCACCGCGGGGAAGCCTGCTTCTCCCTCTCCTACTCCCCCTGCTTGTGTTCCCTCTCTCACTGTGTCTCTCTCTGTCAAATAATAACTAAAATCATTTAAAAAAATGAAAATATGATAAAAATTATCATTATATAAAAGAATCTTTAACATTATTTTTTAAAAAAGAAAGTAAAAACACTCAAAAGCCCATTACCTAGGGAGAAGCGATATGATCATCTTTCTACATCAACAAATATATAGTTCATCCTTGAACATGAGTTTGAACTGCCCAAGTCCACTTACACATAGATTTTTCTGATAAATACAGTATAATACTGTAAATATATTTTATCCTAATGATTTTCTTTTTTAAAAAATTTAATTTGTTTAGGGGCACCTGCGTGGCTCAGATGGTTAAGCATCTCAGGGTCTTGGGATGGAGCCCTGCATTGGCCTCCCTGCTCAGCTGGGAGTCTGCTTCTCTCTCCCCAACCCTGCTCTCCCTCTCACTCTCTCTCTCAAATAAACAAAATCTTTTAAAAAATTAATTGTTTATTTGACAGAAAGGGGGGGGTAGAGAGAGAGAGTAAGCGCAGGGGATAGGGGCAGAGTGAGAGGGAGAGAAAGTCTTAAGCTGACTCCATGCTCAGGGCTGAGCCTGAGGCGGGCTCACAACCCTGAGATCAGAACCTGAGCTGAAACTGGGTCAGATGCTTAACTAACTGTGCCACCCAGGCACCCCCACTCCTAATGATTTTCTTAATCACATTTCTTTCCTCTAGCTTACTTCATTATAAGAATACAGTATATAATAAATCTAACACACAAATCGTGTTAATTGACTGTTCATTCATGTTATTGTTAAGGCTTCCGCTCTACAGTAGGCTATCAGTACTTAGGTTTGGGGGGCCTCAAAAGTTATATGAAGCCTTTCAACTGTGAGGGGAGTCGGTACCTCTAAGCCCCGCATTGTTCAGGGGTCAACTCTGTATCTGTATTACCATATTTAAGGTTTACATATCCACTGTAAATCTGTGAAATAATTTAACTAGGTCCCTACTGATAAAAATTTAGGTTGCTTCTAATGTTTACTTATTTATTTTAAATGATACCTTTCTTAAAGTTTATTTATTTATTTATTTTTAGTAATCTCTAAACCCAACCTGGGGCTGGAACTTAACAACCCCGAGATCAAGAGTCACATGCTCTTCTGACTGAGCTCATCAGCAACCCTAATGTTTATTTATTAAAGGTAATTCTGAACATATCTCATTTTCATACTTCCTTGAGGTAGAATTAAAAATAAAATGTGTTTTCTTATCACTAAATAGCCCTTTAGATAGGTTATGCCATTTTATGGGCTAATCCACATGAAACTGCCAATATTTGTCCATTTTTGAACAGTCAAATTACATATGGCACAACCTAATTCATTCCTATTATTTACATACTTGCTAATAATTGTGAAACATTTAGAACAACATTCATCATGATTTGGGACAATATAATCTTTTATTTTGTGAGAAAGGGCACTTGGAATTTTCCTTAAGATAGAAAACCATTTACATGCAGGGTCTGTCAATGCCATTAGGAATGACATTTGAATCATTTGCATGCTGACATGTTAGAATATGCTCTAGATCAAATGTCCAGTCCCTTGGACTCTTTTCCTGCCCGTCACTGAGTTGTCATGGCCATGTCCCTTGGTTGCACACTTAAGACTTCACATGGAGGCTACAAAGGATCAGTTTTAACACTATTTGTAAAATTCTCTCTTTCTTTGTACACTAAGGGAACTGGGAAAACCAAACCCAGTATTCCCCTCCTCTGAGCCTCCACTGGAAATTCTTTTATTGTTCCTCATATTTTTGAGGAGATTTTTGTATGGAAGACAATGTGAAAGCTGAATATATCTGTACCTCCTAGAACTTATAAGCAATGCACACCTGAGGCAAGTTTGAAGTGGTACTGCTGGTTTCCATATAGAAGGGAGAATTTGAGTGGGTGAAGTCTTGAGAAAGACTGCTGAGATTCATGGCCTCCACTTCCGACATGCTTCCTAATTTTTCATGAGAAACATCCATTTCAAAATGCACAGGATCTGAAGATGATGACCAAACTTTTTGACAGTCCTTGTTCCTAACTGTTGAATGATGGAAGGCTTCTTTTAAAAAACAACATAATTTTAATGTTTATTAGTATATGCAAACAAAGGGTTCCCCTCCCCCATCTCTCCTTGCGTTAAGAAAGCAACATTCATTGTCCTAAATTTTTTTTTTTTTTTTAAAGATTTTATTTATTTATTTGACAGAGAGACAGCGAGAGCAGGAACACAAGCAGGGGGAGTGGGAGAGGGAGAAGCAGGCTTCCTGCCGAGCAGGGAGCCCGACGTGGGACTCGATCCCAGGACCCTGGGATCATAACCTGAGCCGAAGGCAGACGCTTAACGACTGAGCCACCCAGGCGCCCTCATTGTCCTAAATTTTTAAATGTCCATTGTCAGGTTATTAGAAAAATAAAAATTTTTAGTTTGAGTATACCATGGTCACTTTGTGTTGTAGTAAATACCAATTTGGACAAAAACAAGTCAATATATATGTGGCTACTATCCAATAATTTCCTAAAAGACTTGGGACCCAGAAGATGAAGGGACCTCTCAGTTACTTAAAAGATATTTACAAAATATTATCAGAGGACTATCAGGTTCCACAAAATACTGTGTTGCTATTTACTTGATACTCTCTATTATGTCATTATCAAATCAAATCCAATGTTGTAAATCAGTTTTCTCCCACTTTCCTATCCCACACTATTCTCTCAGGCACTTGGATTTGAAAACTTGGAGACACCTTTGGTATCCTTCCACCTCATCATCTGGGCTATCCAGTTACCAAGTCCTGTCCATTCCTCCTTTAAAAATGTTTTTCACAACCCATGTTTTCTTTCCACCTCTTACATCATCACACTGGCCCATACTCTCGTGACTTCCTCAGGTCTGTCAGGGGATGGGAGTGGAAAGGATGTCCAATTGCACGGAGTCCAAGTTCTTCTGCTTGACTTTCTAGGTCTCCCATAGCCTGGACCCACATTACCTATCCAGTATTCCGCTGTTCTAGTCAGATCCGGCTCAATTCCCTGTAAATAGATCATGCTCCTTACTACTTCAGTCTGACATGGCAAATGTTCTCTCTCCCGAAATCTTCCTATCTACCCATTCATCTATGTTTAAAATTCCTGCAATGTTGTTGTGTCTAAATCTCTATCACAATTCAGCAGCTATTCATTTTACTGTTTTAGTATTTGCCACCTTTTCAAGGGTGTTAGTATTTACGGATTTTTTTTTAAGTTTTATTTATTTAAATAATCTCTAGGCTTGAACTCACGATCAAGAGTCACATGCTCTTCCCACAGAGCCAGCCAGTGCCCCAGTATTTAGATTATAAATGCCTCCAGAGGAGTCCATGCATGATTTTTCAGTAGTCCTTACGGCAAATAGTAATGTCACTCACAGAGTCAATATTGATTGAATGAATCCTGCAGTCCCATGACTTATTTCTATTAAAACTTCTCAATCTACAGTCACTACCCATTTGCCTGGATTATTTTATTGAATTATCGAATTAATGAATAATTTTTTGAGGCTTGATTTTTTTTTTTTTTTTTTCAAAATCATGTCATCACTGGAAGTATAAAAAAAGCCAGTGAGTCAAGCAGGCTAGCTGGGATTAGTGAAAGGCCCAACTTTATGCTCACCTTTTCCATCTTCCAAACACATAAATGCTGCCTGGGCTGGAAATCTTTGTTTTCCAAATGCAGAAAAAGGCACGAGCCTTATTTCTTAAATTTTTTTGATGGTCTAGAACTTCCAGTTACACTTTTAGAACTTTGTTCATATGGCACAGTCTGTCAGCTTACTTTTTAAGTTAAGCTTTCCATTTTCATTCTGTCCTTACCAGATTTATGCCACACTTTAAAAATATTTATACAGATATTTAGATAGATATTCCAGGACAGTCTAACGCTGTTTTAAGATGGGTGTTAAAAAAGTCATTGGGAGTTATCGCCCAAAATTACAGTTTCGTTTTAAAATTTTTTCAGTCGTATGACAAACTTTCTAAAATCACTTATCTTATTTCCCCCTCAAAGCAAAGCACCAAACTTAAGTCTAAAAAGTGTGCTCACTTCCAGGGTCCATAGTTTCTTGGATCCGCGGTAAGGATTTCGTCCTTCCTCCCTCAGCACGGGATTTTGCGGGAGGAAGAACGCTTTTAGGCCTCTCCCACTGAAGGCCTTTAAAAACTAGCAGAAGGCAAGCAGGCGGGCTGGAACGACCTGTGTGACGTCAGCCCGCCGCGCCAGCCAATCTCGGCCGGGTATTCCGCCCGCCGGGCTCCCGTGCCCTCGTCCCCGCCCCTCGCCCTCTTGGGCGAAGCTGTGGGGGGGACTTCCGGCAGGGCTGAGACTTCCGGTCGGGCGGGAGTTTCCGGTCGGGGAGAGCTTGGTTCCTCGGGTTGAAAGTGCATCCCCTTTTTAGCACGTGGCGTTCCCTTTTAGCTTAGGGGCTTCTGAGTAGTTTTCTAGGCGGGCCTCTGCCGAAAGGCGGTTTGGTGGTCCGCGGGTAGGGCTGTCTCTGTGCGGTTCCTGTTCCAGCGCTGGGCGGACGGCCTCCCGGGCGTCGGGGCTTTGCGCGCTTCCGTCATGGACTACCGGCGGCTGCTGATGAGCCGGGTGGTCCCGGGGCAGTTCGACGACGCGGATTCCTCCGACAGGTGGGCGCCGGTTGGACACTGTGACTCCATTGGGATTCTGCTGTCTCCTCCGCCGCCGCCCCCTTAGGCTTTTGAGGGAGACCGGTAGTTGTTCCGCTTCTTTCTCCATCCCGGCCGGGTCTTTTATCCCACTTTGCGGCAGAGTTAATGAAAGCCACTTTACAAAGGAGTCCCCGATTAGTTAGCATCGCTGACAGGCACAGTTGGGGATAGCGGCTAGGAACATAGATTTTTGCTCTTTAACTGCATTCAGCGTTCAAAAAATATTTGAGCACCTGTATGCCAGGTTCTGACCTCGGCGCTGGAGATGGTGATGAACAAGACTAAGTCCCTGCTGTCATTGAATTTTACCTTCTACTTGGGACGGACTGACAATTGAGTACCTAGAGGTACTCAAAAAAAAAAAAAAACCCAAAAAGCAGATATTAGACACTATGCAAATAATTAAAATCAGTTGGTAGACTAATGACAGTGTCAGGAGAGAGTTAAGTCCAGGTCTGAACGACAAAAAGGAACTAATCTCAAGAAGAGGAGAAGGGACAGCCGTTCAGCAAGAGGAGACAACAGTGCGAGGCCCAACGTTGGTATCCCTCTTGGCTGTGAAGGGAAGATTTACGGGCCATTGTACCTAGAGCACAACAGGAGTAGTTGAGAAGATGGCTAGGTACTGATGTAGAAGTGAGAAGGGGCCAGATCAGTGAGAAGGGGCCAGATCATGTAGAGCTTTGTAAGTGTTGAGGAGCTGGGATATTTAGGTCTTAATAGAAAGCCATAGGAGAGATTTTAGCAGGGGAACGACATAATGTGATTTATGATTTAAAGGAGTTACTCTATTAAGGAGAGGATGGTTTTGGAGGGTATGAGTGGAAGCAGTTCAAAATTGATAAAGTCGGGGTGCCTGAGTGGCTCAGTCGGTTAAGCGTCTTACTCTTGAGATTTCAGCTCAGGTAACGATTTCAGGGTTCCCACATCTGCGTAAGATTCTCCCTCTGCACCCCACCCCCACCCCAACTCATTTGCACTGTCTCTCTAAAAAAAAAATTTATTCAGTTCAGACATGATGGGAGCTAGATTTTGGACGTAAGAAGTGGCAAGATTTGGTGGTGGATTGGATGTTGGGCTGTGAGGCAAAAGGAATTAAGGATAACTCCTACATGAAGCATGAGAGTCCTTTGAAATTCCAAATAAATGGTTTTTACTTTATGTTCACAGTAAGGATTCATTACATGAAGATTTTATTAATCAGTTGGGGATTTTTTCAGTAAATATATGTTGATCATTTTCTGTGTGTCAGATCTAATGTTAGTGGGTAGGGATACATCGGTAAACATCACCTTGATTGACACAGGGCTTGCATGGTAGGAGGAGAAACATTAAATAATTAGACAATAGATATTTGTATTAGAATTGGGTAAGTAGTATAGAGGAAAAATGGGTGAGGAATAGGGAAGACTTCCCTGAGCAAATGATCATAGGCTAGTACTGGAAGGTTACATTAGATTTAGCCAGAGAAATAAGCTTTTATTTCAAATGCATTCCAGATTTTTGTTTCCAGATAGGCATATATAAGGCTTTAGGGAAGAAGTAGGAAGACGAAACAGCCCAGTGTGGCTGGTGAGTAGTTAACAGTAATGAGTGTTCACTGGTTTTCCATCCATCATTGGATATTGTGAAGATAAACCAGTGGATTTTGTGACCCCACCACACTCCATGGTTTCTTGGCAATCTTTAGAGACATTTGTTTGTCACAACAGGGAGGTCGGGGGATTGCATAGTGGCATCTGGTTGGTAGAGGCCAGAGATGCTGCTAAACATCCTACAAGGCACAAAACGACCTTCCACAATAAAAAATTGTCCAGCCGAGGTTGAGAAGTTCTGGTAGAAATGAAGTATAACTTAAACATGCCACTCTAAATCACTGGCAATTGAAGGATCAAATTAAGGATTGTATTTACAAAAATCATAGTAAATATAAATAGCAGATGTGTAATGATTATTTTCTTCCCACCCATATCTATGGAGAGTTGGAGCCCTGTGAGCTGTTGCTAATTAATAATCAGGATTGATCATCTGAATTTACTAAAGTCTGGTCTTTAAGATGGTAGTTCACATTATCAGCTGTTATATGTGGTTCCTGTCTTTGTTCTCTACATGAGAGGTCAAAACTGGTAGTACCTCTATTGAATCTGACCTGCGGACATATTTTGTTTGGTATGCACAGTGTTTTGTTAAAATTAAATGTACCAGTTAAGTGGGAGATATAAAAATCCACACTTCTGGCTTCTCTTGAATAACTAAGAAGATATGGTAGCACTTGATGTGAATTTTCACATGGCAGGAAAACACCCTATTGGTTGTGCTCCCTTTACTCTGGGCCTGTTCTCTGGGTTTGAGAATTCACTACTTCTTGTACTGAATTACACACAGACTCCCTCTCATTTGTGTTCACCGTTCCTTCCCTTCACAAACAAGGGTGATCTGAAGTTCTTTGTGTGACACAAACCTTGATACAGCTCCTTTTGTTGGAGTGGCATTGAGTTCAAGGTAAGGCTGCTTTAGACTTATTCTCAAATTTTGTCAAAAAGCTCCCCCCCCCACCCCCCTTAAGGCATATCTGTGAATGGTTTTCCTAGAGCCAGGTCTGGTGTACTGGTCAGAGTCCATTCATTCAGCAGAGAAAATGACAGTATAAATCCTAACTTCATTAAGGCAGATGTGGGTTTCATACAGGATGTACTTCTTCTTTAGTAGGACCTGGAGAAGAAGCAAACAATGGGAATGGCACTGTGAAAAACAATCTGGTGTTGAGTTTATGGGGAGGTACTTTGGAAGGAAAACTTTTAGATTTATTGGTATAGATTTAGTCTGTTGTATCACAAATAAATACATGTGTAAATCCAAGTAGAGGTATGTGTAAACATGCTGAAACATTGTTATTTCTAGTGAAAGCATTGACTTGAAGACCATCAGAGAACAAGATGGTGTTCTGTTTGAGGACCTGCAGAAGAATATGTCTGAGAAGACGGAGGGAGGTGAGATGGAGGAGGAGGAGGAGGAGGAGGAGTACGATGATGATGACGACTGGGACTGGGATGATGGAGTTGGGAAACTCACCAAGGGTTATATCTCGAATGCAAGGAGTAACCCCCAGGTATTTTATAAATGATTTTATACATCTTTATGTTATTGTTCATGTCGTCTTTTTTCAGAGGACTTTTTGTCATTCAGGAATTGACTGAAAGATTTCCCTCAGGTTATGTTGGCCTGTAGCCCCAGTCTTTAAGCATTTTCGTTCTTCATCCTTTTCCTATTTCTGATAATTTCCTGGATGTAGATTCCTTTCATAATCAGTACACTTAAAAAGAGTCATTTAAATTATGATAAGATGATGAGCTTTAAAATCTGCATGGGAAAGGACGTGAATAGGCAGTTTACTACAAGTGGTTAGGAAACATGGAGAAAAAAGTTTAACTTCCTTAATAATTAAAGAAATGCAGATTAAATGTGTAGAGATGCCATTTTTTCACCTATGAAACTGACCAAGACCAAAAATACATAATTGTTGTTGGAATAAATAAGCACAGTTATTTGGAGGATGAACTGGTATGTGATAAAAAGCGTTTAAAATATAAAATAAATGCTTTGACTCAGCAGTTCTTCTAGGATTATGCCAAGAATAATGTTACAAGAATGATCCTCCAGTATTGCTTATAGAGAAACATTGGAAGGAACATCTTGTTTAAATTTGCTGAGGGACTGATTTCACATGATGGGATATTGTGCAGCTTTAAAATATGTTGCAGTGGAAGTCTTTATTAATGACATGAACATGTGTTTATGATCTACCATGATCTGTGTACAAAACGCAAGTTACCAAACTACATAAAGTCTTCTTCTCAACTAGAGGTACTTAATGTTTTAGGAGTTTGCAGAGTCCTAGGATTAGCATGGTACATCTTCCTGGAGCATAGTTTCTGAAAGAGATGGAGGGAGGGAAAAACCAACAATATTTCTTTGAATATTAAGACTATTTCATAGACTAGAATGCCTGCAATTAAAGATAACCGGATGAATTTCACACTTGGGGTCTTGTTTTGGTAACTCCTCCATTGATTAATTGGTGAGATGTTGAGCTATTTCAACACAGAGTAATCCCTTTTAATAAAGCTGGAAATACAAGTAAGTATATGTGCTTAAATGTTAACTGTTATCTTGGGTGTTGGGGATTATAGGTGATTAAAATTTTACCTGTGTTTTCTACTGTGAACCTGTATTTAGAAGTGTTTTAAAAGTTATGTTTAGTAGAAAACTTTAAAGAGGTCTATGCAAACAGGAAACAAGTCAGCCTCACACTTCCAAGTTGAGATAACAGGATTAAGTTAGCAATTATTATGGGCGCCTTTTTATCTGTACTGTATTCTCTTATTTATGGGTTCTTTCTTCTCTTTTTGCTATTACTTAAGTTTATGCATAGTGCCAGTCTAAGTTGTTAAGCCTCATACTTAATCTTTCCCTTTCTTGAGACGGTAGGCCCAAAATGAGATTCTTAGAACCAGTTTAATGTTGGTCTAAGCTCTTTGTTATACATTTTCGGTGTAAATGGACATTTTCAAATTTTAAATCTATAAAGCAGTCATACAAAAAAATGCATTTAATTTTAATTTGTTATTTATAATAATGAGGAATACATTGTAGAGAGGTTAAAAAATGGCAGATGGTACAGATTTCTTTAACCACTAACTTTGTCCTATTTCAAATGTCTTTTAAAAAAATTTTTTGCGCAAGTATGATTGATTCTTAACCTTTTCTTAGGGTTCTCATTCAAGTATTGATGCTTTAATAGTTAACTGTGAGCTAAGGAAAAAGGCACGTGATAAAGAACCCTAGGTCTTTATTTAAAACTAGTGTCTTCAACTCTGAAACTTGTTTCTTCTAGGCAAATCGACAGACTTCCAATTGCAATTCAGCCAAAATGTCTACTCCAGCAGACAAGGTCTTACGGAAATTTGAGAATAAAATTAATCTAGGTGAGTTTGTAAAATATGTTTGGGCTCTGAGGAAGTTCTTCAGAGACCATAAAGTGTTATAAAATGTTATTAGATCAAGAAATGAGCATATTCACTGTTACTGGCTGACTGATAACATTTAGAGAAGATAAAAACTCAGCAATTTAAAAACCTGAGTTCAGGAAGAGATGTTAGCTTTTGCTTTTTTATTTCTGTTTTCTCCTCTGCTATAGAATTATAAAGTTACAGGTACCTGTTCAAGTTTTCGTCTGTTTTGTATTAGATTTTATGGTAAGATTATCTCATAGTAGGATGTTGAAAATACACTTAACCTTTGAACGTGGGAGTTGGGGTGCTGACTCCACACAGTCAAAAATCCATGTATAACTTTTGACTTCCCCCAAAACTTAACTACTAATAGCCCACTGTTGACAGGAAGCCTTGCCGATACCATAAACAGTTGATAGACGCATAGTTTATATGTTATATGTGTTATATATTTAATTCTTACAACAAAGGAAACTAGAGAAAAGAAAATGTTAAATCATAAGGAAGAGGGAATACATGTGCAGTACTTGGCTGTGAAAAATCTGCATGTGAGTGGGCCTGCGCAATTCAAACCCATGTTGTTCACAGGTCAACTGTACTAGAAATATAGAATCTAAGTACATTTTGTTTTACTAGACACTTTTTATGTAGGCATCAATCATTTAGTGAGCTGTCAAATGTTGATTTGAACCACCACCTCTTTAAAAATGCAGGGTCATCTTTGTCTTGTGGATGTTGACTCATTATAAACCTAGCACATCTCATAGCCTATCATTGACCTATAATTTAAAATGAAACTTGCAGTTTTTAGAATCAGACTTGGAATTCAGGCAGTTATATTATCCATATTAGTTGTGTAAAGTATTAACAAGTGTCTGAAATTTAGCATATGCAGGTGAAGTATTTTGGAGGGGATTCCTGGGTCCAGGTTTCTGTGGCTCAGAAATTACAGCTGTGGTGATGAGAGTGACAATACTTGTCTCTAAGGAGACAGAACTTCGTGCTCAGCTATAAAAACATTAACATTTTTTCATTATTAAAAGATACTCTCTATACAACAGAATATTTAGAAAATAAGGAAGAGGGAAGTATTCTGTTCAGACTGTTGTCTTTTTGTCTTAAATGTTGTTTACATTGTGGGTTTTTAAATTTTCAGATAAGCTAAATGTTACTGATTCTGTCATAAATAAAGTCACCGAAAAGTCTAGACAAAAGGAAGCAGATATGTAAGTAATATTTTAACTATAATACATGGCTGATAAGGACTAATTCCAAACAAATTAAGTAGCATCTTGGTCATAATTCTTTTGGAAAGGATATTTCTTTGCATACTTAAACCAGTTTTTTCTTTCTTTTTTTTTAGCTTAGGTGAGGGTATCCTTTCCTTTATAAGTTGAAAATATTGAGTCTTAAGAAATGTATGGTCAAACTATAATTTTGTGAAATTCACAGATGCATTACCCTCTCAGGAGGGTAATGGTTTTAAACTAAAATGTTAGAGTGTAAAAATGTTCCCTTTTAAGAATTTATTAAAATTTTTTCTCTTCCATGAAACATTTTTAAAAATTCAAGGGAAGATTTAAAACTAAATAGTGATATAACTAAGAGCAGTTTTTATTTATTCTTCTCAAAATCAGTTGTTTAAGATCTGGCTAACTTCTATATCTTAATAACTCTAAGGTGTTTACAGTTATTGTAGAAAGTGATACTAAGATTATATAACTAGTGGTGTTGGAACCAAACTTAAGGGGCACTTGGGTGGCTCAGTAGGTTAAGTGTCCAACTCTTGATTTTGGCTCAGGTTGTGATCTTAGGGTCGTGAGATGGAGCCCCTCATTGGGCTCAGCTGGAGTCTGCTTGCGGAGTCTCTCTCTCCCTCTGCCCCTCCCCCTGCTTGGGTACGCATGTATGTATGCACTCTCTCCCTCTAAAATAAATAAATCTTTAAAAGAACTGAACTTAAAAACCAGCCTTCTTCTGGTTTATTGCTATACACAAGAGATATCAGCTTTTCTTTTCTTTTTGTAAAAATTTATTTATTTTCAGAGAGTGCTTGTGCACCCACTGGAGCCGAGGAAGGCGGAGAGGGAGAGAGAGAATCTCAAGCAGACTCCATGCTGAGCGCAGAGTGGGGGTGGGGGGAGCTCAATCTTGCAACCCTGAGATCATGACCTGAGCTGAAACCAGGAGTCCAACGCTCAACTGACTGAGCCACCCAAGTGCCCCAAGATAGAAGTTTTCTGAGAACTGCCGTAGTCATTTGTTATTTCACGGAAGTGTTTGTTTGAATCTTTGTGTTTGGATCTTTATGAGTTTAGTGCTAATAGCGTCACTTAGTGTGAGCCGAAGCCAATCAGAATTCGCATTTTAATGTAGAGCCCAGTAAATACCTGAAGATGATAAAAACTTGTATCTTTGTAGAAAGGAACTCTAAAGAGAAGGCAGTATAAATGACTCTAATTCTGCATTAATAGAATCATTAAAGATTTAAGGACAGTATTAACAGACTCGGTGTTTTCTCTTTTGCAGTGTAGTTCACTTTACTCCAGCTGCTCTTTTTATCCACTCCTTCTGAAATATGGAGAGAATTATTTTTTCTTATTGCAGATATGCTCCTTTTGCTCTAGGGAACTGAACTGATGATTAAGGGGACATGAAGGAATCATCACCGAGCAATGAAACTACAATGAGATTATGAAATCTATTATTAAAGAAACTACCTATTTAGGAATTTCATGGAATGATATACATTTGGAAACTTTATTTTGGCTTCTAAATTTTGAATGTCACATATACTTTTTTGGCTTTGGTTAGGTATCGCATCAAAGATAAGGCGGACAGAGCAACTGTGGAACAGGTACAATTTCAATGTGCTGCAAGCTCTCTATTTTATTTTATTTTAAGATTTTATTTATTTATGAGAGAGAGAGAGAGCATGAGCTGGGCAGAGGCAGAGGGAAAAGCAGATTCCCCTGCTGAGCAGGGAGCCCATGCGGGACTCAATCCCAGGACCCTGAGCAGAAGGCAGACGCTTAACTGACTGAGCCACCCAAGCACCCTGCAAGTCTCATTTTAAATGAGCATTTCTTTTCTCTTGGGATTATAGTTTGCATTCATCCTTCTTGCTTAATGCTAATGTTGTCTAAAACTACTTGTAGTTTGAGTTTAGAAATCTACATTTTGCTTTATTTATACTAGGACTGTTAATAGATAAGTTAGAGTCATGCCCCTCTCTGGCCACCATGCAGTGCTTTCCTCTTCTGTGGGGAAGCAGAATTTACTTTAAGACCAGGAATCTTTTGTCTTGTCTTAAACAAGGTCAGCAGGAATTTTGTGAGCTTTCTCAAAAGATGGGTATCTGCCACAAAGCAGGTGTGTGTGTGTGTGTATTTTCATTTAGAAATTCCTTACTTGGTTTAGAAATTATGCTTATTTTATTCTTTCTATTCAAGAGTGGGGACAGATTTTCCTAATTTCCCCGTATATAGAGAGTTGTGATTGGATATTAGCATTGGCCCAGATTTTTGATGTGAAGGTGATAGAAAGGGTCAGAACATTACTAGTGCCACCTCCCACCCTTCTGCCCAGCCCTGTACAGAGGCACAAACTCACTTTGCAGTCATAGCCTCTTCCACCGCCCCTGCTGCTGTCCACCTCTGCCCCCAAGGGAGTCACACCCAGTCAGAGCTCAGAACCACTTGTGCAGTTGGAGAAGTCTGCCCGTAGTTGGGCGGAAGTAGGTCTGGGATCCATGTCTTCATTGCCCTCTCATGTATTTGTTTTGTGTGATGTGTGTGTGTGTGTGTGTGTGTGTGTGTGTGTGTGATTGAAAACAAAGGGTAGTCCAGCTGAGAGAAGTGAGGCAGCTCTAATTGTCACAGACCCTAAAAGGACTAAGGCAGGAAGTCCTTTTTTCCCCTTTCGAAATTAATGTGGAATTAAGAGTGTGTATCTTGATCTTAAGTGGTATTTTAAGGTATGTATTTGTAAGTTCATTCACTTTGCGGATTTCTTTTTTCCTATTTTGTTTACAAGCCGTTTTGGCATGTTGCCCCTCCTGTGGCCCGGACTTGGCTTCCCCCCATTTTGGCAGCAGCGCAGGCGCCTGTCTGCATCCTTCCGCCCCAGCAGCGTGCCCTCCCTCTGCTCACCTGTGCGCCCAGCCGCCCGGGCAGCTAGTGTCTGTTCGCTCACTTCCCTCTCATTTCGATCTAGTTGCCATTGATGCCGTTTGGCTTTTAGTCATGCAGTCTTCCAGGGTTTTGTTTTTATTAACCTTAGGTTTCTGGTGTGACCGCAGCTGTGTCACTGAAGGACAGACCCTAAAGTGTAGTTAGATTGGGCCGCTTTACACCGTCTCTCTCCGTGGAGGTGGAGGGGCTGTTGTGAGTGTCCCTTGAAAGTGTGTGTAAATATGTGGCTGCTTCAGTTCGGGCACGGATGGGACCAGGCTTTAAGTTCATGGCTTTTTCGTTAAGGAGGACTTTGGAGTCCTTTTTAGTCAAGATTGATTGCTCTGGCTTCAAAGGAGACCCTTTCCCTGATTTACTCATCTATAGCAGAGGTGTGCAAACTCCTTCTTTAAAGGGTTAAATACTTTAAGCATTGTGGCTCAATTTTTTTTTTTTTTTTTACAACTATTTTAAAATGTAAAGACCATTCCTAGCTTACAGGCTGTGGAAAAACAGGCTGTGGCCTGGATTTGACTCATGAGCTGTATGGTGCTGACCTCTGATTTAAAGTTTCATATCCAGTACAGTGGCCATTGAGCACTTGAAATGTAGCTAGTCTGAATTGAGATGTGCTATCAACATCAACAGGCTTGGTGTGAAGGCTTAGTGTAAAAAATGCAGTGTTAAATCTCTCGCTGGTAACTTATATCGATTGCATGTTGAAACTGATAATGTTTTAGATATACTGGATTAAATAAATAAAACAAATTTTACCTGCTATTTTTTACTCCTTTTAATGTGACTAGAAAATGTAAACCTAGTTATGTGACTTGCATTATATTCTATTAGCTAATGTCAGTCTGCTGTCACTTTCTGCTTCCCTTTGACTTGGTAGACTTTAATTTCTGTGACTGAACTTGTTGGTGCGTCTCTTGTTCCTTTCACCTTCGTGTGGCATTTTATTTGTTAAAAATTATAGTGAATAAAAACACCACAGTTGATACTTTTCATTGAGTCAGCCAGGATAGCTTAGTACTTAAGCTTTTCTTCAGGTTATTGATGGTCAGATGTTTCAATGAGAAATATTTGGTACTGTCTCTCTGAACTTTTTATTTTTTGCATTTTTTTAGGTGTTGGATCCTAGAACGCGAATGATATTATTCAAGATGTTGACTAGAGGAATCATATCTGAGATAAATGGCTGCATAAGCACAGGAAAAGAAGTGAGCTTTTCTTTGGCTGCCTGAGTGTTTTCATGTTAGTTTTCTTACTTCAGATAACAAATGAAACTAAGGCACTTAGTAAATAAATGGTGCCTTTAAAAAGAAAAGAAAAAAAATACACAAGTCAGAATAGCTTAGTATTTCTAAAAACGGCTTTATTAATATTTATGGGTAGGTAGGAAGTTGTACACACAACCTTGCCTTTTCACCTCCGTTACTGTACTGGATCACTGGGTCCAGGTGGTGCCCAGGGTCAGATTACTGCAGGCCTGAATCCTTATCACATGGTTACTAATGGGGCAGGGGCTTAGTCTAGTCTTTCTGAGTCAATGAATCTCTTCCCCGTTTTTTCTTTGTATGTGTATATGGAGAAAGACAGACATGGCAGTTTTAAATGAGCCACTCATTCTATGGGAAGCACTTCTCAGTAAAACTCCGTTTACAAATCATGAGATGTAAGAATGTCTTAAAATATTTTTCACATACTTGAGATACAAAAACGTTGAAAGCCGCTTCTTGTATATGAATTGGATCTTCCTATATACGTAAATTAGAGCTCTACTTACTGTACCTTTTTGTAATGATGTTTAGAATTTTAATTGACATAATCAGAAGACGATGGTGTTTCTCGTACATGTTACTTCAGTTCGCTTGACTTTTTTTTAACTTTTGAGGATAAAATCAAATAGAGTGAAAGATTGAAATACTGTGTGTAGTTATTTAACACAAGCTTAATTTGTTTTTGATGCAAAATAGGCTAATGTATACCATGCTAGCACAGCAAATGGAGAGAGCAGAGCCATCAAAATTTACAAAACTTCTATTTTGGTGTTCAAAGATCGGGATAAGTATGTAAGTGGGGAATTCAGGTGAGTTCAGATTCTTTTTCCAGTTGGCCTAATTTCTATATCCTAAAATAAAAACTGGAATAATGGAATGATGGGAATAACAAATATTTTTCTCATTCAAGATTTCGTCATGGCTATTGTAAAGGAAACCCCAGAAAAATGGTGAAAACTTGGGCAGAAAAAGAAATGAGGAACTTAATCAGGTGACTCTCTGGGGCGTGGGGCTGTGCTGTGTCCGACATACTGGCCCCCGCTCCTTCCTGCTGGCATATCCCAGGGTGGTTCTGTCCGAAGGTGGGCACTCGTAGTGCTGCTCATTTCCGTTAGATCTGCTGAGGCGCGCGGAAATGGCACATTCCTGGACAAATAAGAACTACCTTGTTTTCTCTGTTTTGAGAACCCATTACGGAAAAATTCACATTTATTCAGCAAGGCTGGGTCATTCCAAGCACCTTGGAAGCCATGTGAAAGCATTTAAAATTTATAGCGAGGATGGTAGGGGGCTAATGCAAGATTTTAAGCAGGGAAATACACAATCAGGTTTTGAGACTGATGTGTCATTTTTTATAGGCATTGGAGTTTTAGACGATTTTGTTAGGACCTAAACTCTATCATAGTTTCCTTTTCGGATTTCAGTCCAGTCTTGGACATACTTATACGTTCTTTGTGCTGACACTTTTATATCAGGTGAGGGCAACTTACTTAGCTGAGATCAAGTGTTTCAAAAATTTGAAGTTTTTTTTTTTCTCTTTCGAGTACCTTTTAACATTTTATCTGCTGTGCATTGGTGACATACGTTGGATATTTTAGTATTAAATACTTGTTTTGAAAGTCCTTTTGAAATCTTCTTGTGTTCAGTTAGCTATTAGGTATGAGTCCAACTGGTTTTTTGTTTTTTGGTTTTTTTGTAAGTAAACTACACCCTGTGTGGGCGGGGCTCTACCTCACGACCCGAGGGTCAAGAGTCATGTGCTCTACCCACTGAGCCAGCCAGGCACCCTGAGTCCAACTGTTTTATTAATCATTGTTGAGGCTAATCAACTCAGAAGACATAACTGCTGTAGTTCATCAGTTCTGAGATGCACATTGCACAGTTTAACATCTCTGGAATGGGACTGAGTGTTAGAGGCTATGAGATATAGATGAATTGCCAGTGTTTTGCGGTTCTTGGTTGTGCATCTTGGTACCACTTAAAATCTCTGCGGTCTTCGAGTTTATGAAATACAGTAATACAATTGAGATGTGTTGATGCTGTTTCCTAACAGCCATATTAATCTTGTGTTCTGTAGCCGTTGTGATTTGTTTTACATGTTGTGTCACCTTTTCATTTGTCCTTTTGTCTTTTTGAATACCACAGACTAAACACAGCACAGATCCCATGCCCAGAACCTGTCCTGCTGAGAAGTCATGTTCTTGTCATGGGCTTCATTGGTAAAGATGACATGTGAGTATGTAGAAGGCCTAATAATTACATGCTCAGAAGTATATATTTTTTTCTTTTGTTTTTAAAAAAAAAATCCCTCAAACTAGTGTTTATTTTGGAGCATTTCTGTTGTTTCTAATGTAAAATAAGACACTTAACATTCCACGTTGAAGCTTATCTTTTAAATTGCTTATCTTTTAAATTACAAAGTGTATGCTCTGCCCGTAGAATCACATGACTTTAGTCTTCAGTTCCTTTGGATTCTCAGAGCAACAATAAGACAAGTCTCAGAATCATCATGAGGCTTAAGCCTGCAATCAACCCAGCTGGCATGATTTTCTTTGATCTCTTATACCTCACACCCATTATGGTGGCCAGGAAGAAAGCTGTAAACAGTGACAGTCAGAAGTATATTTTTAAGTGCTTCAAATTATCTGACCTACAACTATTTGCCATTTAAATAGCTCCTTTCATCTTGGAATGTTTTTTGTGAATCTTTTCCACTGTACTCGTGCAGAGTTACTCATTTATTTTACCTTTTTAAGTCTCAAAGTGCTTCAGAATAACAAAGTTCACCCTGTTTTGAGGAATGTTTTATACAGTAAGCTGGGAGAACACCTGTTTCTTGACAACTTTTTGATTGGTACATCTATAGTGACCCAGTTGCCCAGTGATAAGTTGTTGAAAAGAAGTCCATGTAGCAATGTGTAGTATAAAGCAAGAAAACTTGTTCTGGGGCATTTTATCTTAGTTCATTTTATTTGTATTAAAGGCCAGCGCCACTGTTGAAAAACGTCCAGTTATCAGAATCTAAGGCTCGGGAGTTATATCTGCAGGTCATCCAGTACATGAGAAGAATGTATCAAGATGCCAGACTTGTCCATGCAGATCTCAGTGAATTTAACATGCTGTGAGTGTGTTTTGTCCCTTGGGAACCTCCTGTACAGCGTTTCATGTCCTTTAAAAAAATAAAATCCCAATCCAAGAAGTCATTTTTATTTTTATTTTATTTTTTGCTTTTTTATTTTTTAATTTATTTGAGAGAGAGAAACAGAGATGGCGAGAGCACGAGCGGGGAGGAGAGGGAGAAGCAGACTCCCCACTGAGCAGGGAGCCCGACGCGGGGCTCGAGCCCAGGACCCTGGGATCATGACCTGAGCCAAGGGCAGATGCTTAACCAACTGAGCCACCCAGGCAACCCCAAGAAGTCATTTTTAAATTCTAAAGATTTAAAGTTGGCCTCCACATGGTCATGGTATAGGATGTGTTCTGTGCTTGTGGTGGCCTTAGTCACAGAACTGCCTATCTGATCATTAACAGAGTTCTCAGACTTTGGAAATCTTCTCAGTTTTCATCTCTTGCTAGTCAAAGTGGCCTCTTATCCTTACCCACCTTGTTCGTTCTATTGGTCATTTCGCTTGCTCTTAAGATAGAATTTTTTTAAACAACAAAACGCAGGAAAGTAGAATCCAAGTCCCTGCGTGTCTGGCCCACAGGTACCATAGTGGAGGTGTGTATATCATTGACGTTTCTCAGTCCGTAGAGCATGACCACCCACATGCCTTGGAGTTCTTGAGAAAGGACTGTGCCAATGTCAACGGTGAGTGGAAATTGGAATTTCCTACCGGCTTGTTTGTGTCTGTTGGTTCTGCACTCTGGTAAGCTGTTGATGTCAAATCTTGGCACTAAATCTTTTGATGTAGTGATACTTCTACCATTTGCTGGGAGATGGTGTATTTTTATTCATCTCTTTGTTTCTTCGTAACATAGTTGGAGTAACAACTTTTTCCCTCCTAAGGCTGTGCTGCGTTTTCCTTTCAACAGATTTCTTTTTGAAGCACAGCGTTGCTGTGATGACTGTGCGGGAACTCTTTGAATTTGTCACAGATCCGTCCATTACACAGGAGAACATGGACGCTTACCTCTCAAAGGTGAGATGGGGCGAGGAAAAGAAAGAACAGAAAATAGTAGTAATCTGCACTTACGTGCTGCTTCTCAGGGACTCCAGTTGCTCAGTGTATGTTCGTTTCAACAGCTTCCTGAGACCTCCTGATTTCACACATAGGGAATCAAAAATACAGTAAAAAGCCAATGGGAATGAGAGA